CGACGCTCTCACGGCGAAGAAAGCAATAGCGTACCTCAAACGCCATCCTCAAAGACTCGCATCCCTCTCTTCTCACTTCACTCCCCAAGCAGCCTCCTACGTTCTCCTCAACTCCCAATCCGACCAACGCACCCTCCTCAACTTCCTCACCTGGGCCCAGGCCCAGGCCCAACCCCATGCCCATACCCATTTCCTCACGCGGAAATAATCCATGGGAAATTTGACTTTTTCTTGTAGTGATAGTTCAACTTATCATCTCAACATATCATACAAAGCATTAAGTATAAAAGTTATCAAAATAGGGCTCTCGTTAGGTAGGTTGAGCTTTTTAGATCTTCTAGCTGGGTGACATTACTATCATTTAACAAAGGAACACTTTACCACTTTACTTGCTAGCAAACTTTTGGCTCGTCGAGCAACTAGACTCCTCTAGCGCTTGTCGTTGGGTGGTCAAGAGCTCGTTGAGTGCTCCACCGTCTCTGTGGATATTCTCATTGGGCGGGCATATCTTCTTGGGTGACCTAGATCCTCTGTGGGTCCTCATGTTAGGCACGATATATCTCGTTGGGTGAGTTTAGCCACAAAATCGATATCTCACTAAGCGATTCATCTGTTACTAAGTGAGATAACAATTTTGGGTAGGTGTTCTTAAACTCAAAATCACGTTGGGCACCATAAATCATTGTTGGGCAACAATAGGGGTTTCACCATGGAGAGACATCTTTTCACTAGAAATTAAACCATTAATCTCTACTAACTCAACATGCAACCTTTAAATCAACATATATACATATTAAACAACTTAAATTCAAGAGAATTACAACATGTAACATTAATACATGTCAAAATCAATCATTCCTCTTCCAACCATCAAGAAACCCAAAAACATAAAATAAGGTCCAATCTTTCAACTTTCAACATCCATGTCATCCAAATCATGATTAGCACAATAAAATTAACATATATAACACAGAAGATTAACCTACAAACTTCTTTTACCTAGAATCCTTAAGAGATAATGAAAGAAAGAAAAATGACAAAGAATGAGACTTCCTAATAGTTTTCCATACATCAACTTCAATTCCCTGCTCCTTAACTTTGAATTTCTAATCAATCACCACAACAGTGCTATAGGGAAA